AAATATTGGGATGCATTGATACACTGACTCACAGCACTCTGTTCTGTTTGTTCCACATTCCTTTTGCTTGTATGTGTTCTTAGCATCAGCACAAATTTAAAGACAAAATGCTAGGATTTCTCTTGCAATCTCTCTCTCCCTCCTTCCCTCCCCCACCCCTCTCTGCTAGGTCATGGAGCATGAACTGGGCATGGGCATGGTCCCTGAGCTTTTCTGCTCAAGCCTAGCATGCTACCACTTTGAGCTACAGCTCCACTTCTGGTATTCCGGTGGTTAATTGGAGATAAGAGTCTCATGGACTTTCCTCCGTAGGTTGGCTTTGAACCACCATCCTCAGATCTCAGCCTCCTGAGTAGCTAGGATTACAGGTGTGAGCCACCAGCCCCCCTGCTCTAGTTCTCTTCTGAGATAAGACTCAATAGTGAAAGAGTTACTTACCTCTTAGCCTTTTTTTTTTTTTTTGTCAGTCATGGGTCCTGAACTCTGGGCCTGGGCGCTGTCCCTCAGCTCCTCAGCTCAAGGCTAGTGCTCTACCACTTGAGCCACAGCGCCACTTCTGGCTTTTTTCTTTTTGCTTTTGTGGTGTTGAGGAATCAAACCCAGGGCCTCAGACATGTAAGGCAAGCGCTCTACCACTGAGCCACCTTCCCAGCCCCTAATCTTTAATAGAGATTATTTAGGGTCCTCTTGGGAGAAAAGACACCCTACCCTCTTCCTATTATTCTCAATAGTGGACAAATTTGTTTCTAAGGAAAACACAAAAATTAAGAAAAATATGATGCTTTTTAAAATCACCAGCTAGAAGCTGGTGGTATAGTTCAGTGGCAGAGAGCTTGCCAGGAAAGTCCCTGTGTGTCACCAGCCAGTAGGTACCTGGGTCTCTTCACCTATGTCCAAGCAGAAGGAACAGTCTAGATCTTTGGTCTGTCATGGTTATCCAGCCTAGGTGGATTTTACTGAATGTTTTACGTTGTCTTTCACTTGAAAATATTAAAAGTAGCTGGGCTGGGTGCCAGTGGCTCACGCCTGTAATCCTAGCTACTCAGGAGTCTGAAATCTGAGGATCACAGTTCAAAGCCAGCCTGGACAGAAAAGTCCGTAAGACTCTTATCTCCAATAAAACCACTAGAAACTGGAAGTGGCACTGTGGCTCAAGCGGTAGCTCGCTCATCTTGAGCTGAAGAGCTGAGGGATAGCACCTAAGCCACAACTCACAAAAAGAAGAAAAGAAAGAAAGAAAGAAAGACAGGAAGGAAGGAAGGAAGGAAGGAAGGAAGGAAGGAAGGAAGGAAGGAAGGAAGGAAGGAAGGAAGGAAGGAAGGAAGGAAGGAAGAAAATATTAAAGGAGTCCCTGATGGGCGCCAATGCTTTTTCCCCTAACTGCTCTAGAGCTCACATTCCAGTACTTTGAAAGGAAAAAGGGGTTCAAAATGGTTCTAGTAATCTGTTACAACATAACAAAACACCATTACTTAAGAAGATGCTGGGATTAAACCTGTTTTTATGAATGCTAGCCAAGCACTCTCTCACTGAACTACACTCCCATACCCTTCTGGGTATTTTTTATTCTGATGTCTCTTATATTCCAATCCGAGGATGGCTAGTGGGAATGAGCTAGAGGGGAAGTTGAACCTTTTCCCTTCCTTTCCATCGTCCTGTGGCCTCCAACATTGGTAAACAGACTTTTAGTTGCTCAGGGCTTCTTGGGCACAAGAAACAAAACCCACGAAGCCTTCCTACAAGTTGGCCCAGGAGCTAGCACAATAGCAGTTTTAATGTCTTCTATTAGATCAGAGTAGCAAATTTAGCCCAGATTCTACAGGGATATATACACCAAGTACAGTTTGCTAGGGCCTATCTTAAGAGATTAGCTACCATCCCCATCAAAAGATATATCTTCATTGTGGCAAAATATTATGATTAAGGCTTCTATTCCCCATCATCCTTGAACTCTGTTTAACAAGCGTATGAGGACTGTGATTCAAAGCCAGCCCCAGTAGAAAAGTTCATGAGACTCTTATCTTCACTTAGCCAGCAAAAAGCTAGAAATGGAGCTGTGCTTCAAGTGATGGAGCACCAGCCTTGAGTGAAAAAGCCCTGGATTCCAGCTCGTTAGAAAAAGAAAAAGAGAAAGGAAGGAAGAGAGGGAGGGAGGAAAGAAAAGGAAGGAAGGAAGGAAGGAAGGAAAGCAGGCAGGCAAGCAGGCAGGGAGGGAGGGAGGGAGGAAGGAGACAGAAAAAAAGGAAGGAAGTCAGTGTAGGGAGATGATACTTGGTATTTTCAAACACAGGTTTCCACACTTGGGTGTCATCCCTCCCAACAAACCAGCATCATCTGATGGTTTTAGATTCTTAAACTCTTGGCTGTTTATAAGGGGGGAAAGTTATGAATTACCCGAAAGTATTTCTGAAATACAAAGTGGACCTGCATGTGTGTTTATTCCTGTAGAAAGGTCTCTTTTATTATCTTCAGGTGAATCCAAATATGCAAGACATTTAAAGCTACTTAGAACCACAAACCTGCTCTGGATTCTTACCTCCAACTGACTTCTAACATATCGTAGAATTGGCTCAGACCTGTTTTCCTAATTATTCAGAAGGTTGAGATCTGAGGATCAAACTTCAAAACCACCCAGGACAGAAAAGTTTGTGAGACTCTTATCTCCAATTAACTGTCAAAGGGCCAGAAATGGAGTTGTGACTCAAGTGGTAGAAAAGCCAATGTTGAGTGATAAGCTAAGAGAAAGTGACTTGACCTTGAGTCCAAGCCCCAGTACCAATACACCACACACACACACACACACACACACACACACACACACACACACACACATTTCAGAAGTTGACATGGGAATTGGGAGCAATGTAACTTTATGTATATGTTTCCAAATTAAAAGTTTAAAAAAAGCCAAGTATTAAAGAACAAAGTAGTTGCAGTTATCTCATCTGAGTGCTACCTTCAAGAATGAGCTACCTTCAAGAATGAATAGCTTGAGGTTGGGAAGTTGGTTCAGTGATAGAGTGCTTGCCCTTCATGCATGAGGCCCTGGGTTCGATTCCTCAGCACCACATAAGCAGAAAAAGCCGGAAGTGGCACTGTGGCTCAAGTGGTAGGTGCTAGACTTGAGCTAAAGAGCTGAGGGACAGCACCCAGGCCGAGTTCAGGCCCCATGACTGGAAAACACACACACACACACACAAGAATGAGTAGCTACTTTAGCCCTTTAGGTCTTATTTTCCCACCCATACCTGATGAGTATTAAGAATGCAAGTTAAGGGGCTGGGAAGGTGGCTCAGTGGTAGAGTGCTTGCCCCTCATGCATGAGGCCCTGGGTTCTATTCCTCAGCACCACATAAGCAGAAAAACCCGAAGTGGCACTGTAGATCAAGTGGTAGAGCACTAGCCTTGAGCTGATAGAGCTGAGGGACAGCGCCCAGGCCCAGAGTTCAGGCCCCACGACTGGACCCCCCCCCAAAAAAAAAGAATGCAAGTTAACAGGATTCATTTACCTAAGCACTTGACTTCTTCTCCCTTCCTCTTTTGCTTGTTTATCTTAATTTTATTAGCCAAAGGTATAGCTGAGTCTCCCTGGGCACAAAATCTGAACTGGCCATATGGCCTTGAACCTGAACAAGGAGCCCCTTTTGTTTATGTTGTCATCTACCTGGAAGGCTGGGGACATCTCAGTGGAAGTGCTCAGATGGGCAATGGAAGAACCTTGGGGCCAGAGGAAGAAACAGCATGGAAAAGGGTAGACCGCTTAACAAAAACTAATCAGTTTGATAATGAGGTAAGTTCTCTAATTCTAGAATTATTAAGGTGGCTTATAATGTTTAACAAGACTTAACCATTCTACACTGAAACATTTCACCCTTTCTAGTATCCACAAATCCCTACCAAAAACATGTCTGGATATGTTCAAATAATCCAGCCAAATATTTCAGCTTAGATCTAAACTCTCAACAGAATGTAAGTTCTTCCAGCACCTGTGGATATATCCCAGCACAAATACTATGAATGACTTAAAAACTTGTAGTAGGGCATGGGGTATAATTCAGAGGTATTGGGCTTACTAGCATGCAGAAGACTTGGGTTCACACAAACACACACACACACACAGGCTTGCAGGCTTGTTCAGCCTCACACTGTGCAGAATGGCATGGTGGAAACATCTGGCACAGCAAATACCGAATCATGTGTTCCTATTCATGCCTCAATGTACAGAATGTGTGAAAAATGCCACGGCCGGAATGAGCTGATCATATCCTTATGCCCGTTATTGGATTCTTCTAAGTAAAATGTGCTCACTCACGATGTGTAAACTTGTAGCCTTACTCACATTGCAGAGCACGCTATGCACAAATCCACCCAGGCACTCTTTCCACATTTAGACTCAAGTGTCAGGAAATAAGGCATGGATGTGTTTACCTATAGCAAAATACAAGGACTGAATTTAGAGGCTAATGCTGACTAGCTATCAAAATGCAGTTTATTTTGATTAGGTCCCAGCCATACTACATCCCTAAGTGTAAGTGTGAGAATTAAAGCCAAGTTGTGTAAGCTGTGTTGAGTGAGAGATAAGGATTCATGGTGACTATACACTAGAACAGGGGAGGGCACAAAGCTTCTTTAGGCAGGTCTGAAAACTGACAGATAATGAAACTACTTGGACATCTGCTCTTAAAAGTAGATTGTAAAACATTTTTAATGTTAATGTTAACCACTACTTTTAATGACTAAGAAGGTTCATTGTGGGAAGCTTTTCCTCCTCCAATAAGAACTTAGAGCAAACTACATTCTAATGTGCATTTTTAGAGCTTCTTGTAGGTAAGACGAGGCATTTTCCATTAAGTATGTGTTTCTAGTTGCATTAGTACTTAACGTGGATTTTGAATGGAGGATTCTTCTAAGACTAGTTTGACAGAGACACTGCTAAGATGAAAAATAAAACCCAATACTTAAGATTTTTATTTTTTAAAAAAAAGATTAAACACACTCACACACACACTTGGGGCAAATTTTTGATCACATAAATTTCCAAAGAATGGAGTCACTGTTTTAAGAGAACATTCACAGAAGGTTAATTTGAGATCAGAAATGGGGGTTTGGATCATGGCACGGGGAAGCGAGTCAATGAAATCAATTTTAAACCCAAACTCCACAACCACCCTCCCCCCAAATGTTCAAGTGGTAGACAAAATAAATTACCATAAATTATCTGCCAAGACAACCTAAAAAAAAAAAAACAAACTAAAACCAAAAACAAAACCGAAGCGCGGGGCTAGGGGTTTCCTTCGCTTCTCCAGGAAGTGTGTAACACTGAGCTTCTGGCCCGCAGAGTGCGGCTGGGCGGGAGCTGTCAAACGTCCGGGTAGTTGCAGTAATACACGGCAGAGCTGGCGTCGGACACCACGGAGGAAATGGCCCCGTGGCTGTCTGGGAGGCTCACCCCGCAGTCGTGTCCCTGGTAGGGGAGCCCCATCTCCGGCTTGCACACGAAGTGCAGATACTGTTCGAATTCCGTGCGGTCCACCTCGCCGAGGAGCTCCGCGGGTTGAGTCGGGTCCGTGCCATCCCTGCAAGGCAGCGCCTCGGGAGGGGGGGACGGCTGCCCGGGGCCCGCTGCGGGGCTCTGCGCGGGCTGCACGTGAAAGCCGCGTCCGCCGCCCGCCGCCGGGGACCCCATCGCGCCGTAGTACATGTGCAGGGCGCTAGGGGGCGCCAGGAGGCCCGGCATCGAGGGACCCGCGGGCTCGTGGCCCAGTCGCGGGTGCATGTGGCCGGCGGGCGGTTCCGGAGGCATCGCGTAGTCCGAGACCTGCGGGTAGTTGTAGGTGGCGGGCGCCGGGCAGTCCCCAGGCATCGGGGCGGCGAAGAAGGCTGGATCCGGGTCCACGCCATCCAGTGGAGATGTGTCCGGCGTGGGCAGCGGGTAGCCGTCCAGCGGGGGCGCGCCCAGGCCCTGGCAGTCGCGGTAGTGGCCGCCCACATGCGGGGCCAGCATCGGCGGGCCCGCGGGGAAGCCCTGCTCCGGGAAGGGCAGGCCCAAGCCGTCCATCGCCACGCGGCCGCCGTCGGGGCCCAGCGCTGCGGCCTGCGGCTCGGCGAGGCCGTGCAGGAAGCCTCCCTCCACCCGCTTCAGCCGCTTCACCTGCTTGCGCCGCCGGGGCCGGTACTTGTAGTTGGGGTGGTCCTGCATGTGCTGCACGCGCAGCCGCTCGGCCTCCTCCACGAACGGCCGCTTCTCCGCCAGCGTCAGCGCCTTCCACGACTTGCCTGCAAGCGGGGCGGGAGGGTGCGGGGGGCGCCGGGGTTACCGCGCTGCGCTCCCCCTTCGGGCCCGATCTTGTCGCCCGCAGCCTCCAACCTCGAATTGCACAGCCCGAGGGGGAGCGGGATTCATTTGGGCGTGGAGGCCTGGGACCCCTTTTCTCATCTCCATTCAGGGCAGCCCACGCGGCGGTAGCCTCCGGCGCTCCCGATTCCCAATGATTCGGAAAGGATCGAGAAAGGGCCCACCCAAGTCAGGGTACCATTACTGCTGGGCCGCGGTGGCCGCTCGGACAGGCCGGGAAGCCTCCTCTCCCCAGCCTCCCCGACCCTCGCAAAGCCATTCTAGCTTTCCGGGCCACCCGGGTAATTAGGAAGGCGGTGGCTGATCAAGACCGAAAGTTTGGAAAGAGAAGAACGTGGCTAAACCATATCCCTCGTCTCGGGCGCCAGGCCCGCGAATTATACCCACGCACCTAGGGAAGAGCCCTCGGGGTCCCACCGGCGCGCCTGGGTCCCCGGCCGAGACTACTCACCGAGCATCTTGCTCAGTTCCGCATTGTGCAAGTCCGGGTTCTGCTGCGCCAGCCGCTTGCGCTCGTCCTTCGCCCACACCATGAAGGCGTTCATCGGCCGCCGGATGCGGGACTCGCCCTTGGCCCGTCCCGGGGCCCCAGACAGCGCTCCGCTACTAGCCGCCGCCTCGCCGCCCTTCACCTTCACATCCCCGAGGGGGCTCAGAGACTCGGCCCAGGGGCAAGGGCCCAGCCCGGCCATCACCGCGGGCAGCGCGCTCCGGGGTTGGCTCTGGTCGTCACTGGCGTATCCCGCATCCGGGCTGCTCATGGCGCTCCAGCCCTGCCCCGCGCCCCGCTACCCTCAGCCAGACACGCCGCCACCCCCGATCCTGGGGGAGGGGTGGCGAGAGCGAGCCAGGAGATGCCTTGAGAACTCCACGGGCCCCGACCCGAGCCCACCGCCAGCGTGTCCTGCCAGGCCCAGCCCACGACCTAACCAGCACCCCCTGGGCAACCCAGTGACACTGCGGGCGCCCCCCGTTTGCGAGGCCTTTTCTGTACCGACGTGGCCAATGGAGCGACGGGGGCGGGCCGGGCGCGAGTCGTGCGGCCCACGCCCAGACGGTGGTCGGAGTCCCAAGTCCCAGTTCAACCCCACGCCCGCCCCTTTCCCCTCCCCCAGCTCCGCGTCCAAGGCTACACCTGCCCCCGGAAAAGGTGGCTGGAGCCGGGCTCTGGCGCCTAGTCCTCTCCAACCCCGGATAGAGAACGGCTTAAAAAAATCTGTCTAGGGCTGCTATTAGTACCTATCTCTACCAAGGTAATTCGCATTAATCGTTCTAAGCATCCATTTAATTACCTTTTAAATCACATACAGGCTCTGGGTATTTCAGTGTTGGATGACTTAGCCGCCTTCCAAGTAACTAAATAGATGTCTTCTTCAAACGTGTCTTCTTTAAGGCAGAAGATATTGCTGATAAGAAATGAATAAATCGCTCCTAAGGACTCACCCTGCTTACATCGTGTTCAAGGTAAATTCTGATTTTTGAAACCACAGTAAATTCAGGAAGATCTCCTGATGCCCAATATTTCATCTATGAACTAGGATTTTATTCACAATAAACCATACGAGTATGTATATGAAATGTGTAATATGTGCGTAAAGTATGTTATATATACTTTCTCATATCTTTTCAGTACTAGGGGCAAGACTTGGTTCTGATTTGTGTGAAAGATTTGCACCAGACCCTCGCCCCCTCCCCCAAAAAGTAAAATGTAAAACCAGGAGTAATATTTGTTTCAGTGCCCAAGTTTATTAGTTTAGTCCTTCTGAGTAGCGAAGTAACTGTTTCTCAGCATCGGTTAAAGGTGGCTACCCTGGCAGATAATTATGGCATTTATATACATTTCTTTAAACTGCACCGAAAATCTGAGTGACTAGAAAACTTTAGTTTTACTTAGTAATCTAGTAAAAATGCCCCCCCCTTTTGTGGGAATTTTAAACTCAAGTGTTCCCAATGCCTTCCCCTAAACAACCTGAGAGGCAGATACTATTATAGCTTATTGGAGAGGAAACTGAGGCCTGGAAAGGTCCAGGAAGTTGGAGATCAAAGTATCAGGAAGGTAAAATTCCCACCCATCAGTCTGCATTCAGACCAGGAACTCTTAATCACCAAGCCTGCCTGTTGAGTTTGTGTATTTGTGTTTTTTTCAAAGGCAACTGACTTTTCAAAGGTAACTAAATCTGTGCATAATTTTGAAGGAAAAACAATCCTAATACACTCATCTCCAGAAGAGACTCTTTGTTCTTTCTCTCTCTTTCTTTCTTTCTTCCTTCCTTCCTTTTCTCTTTATTTCTCTTCTTTCTTTTTCTTTTTCTCTTTTTGTTTCTTCCTTTTCTTTTTCTTTCTCTCTTCTTTCTTGCTTGCTTTCTTTTCTTTTCCTTCCTTTCTTTCCTTCCTTCTTTCTGTCTTTCTTTTTTTGCCATGAAGATGTGATGAAAAACAGCACTTTGATTGGGGAATCAGAGAAATTAAATACTGAGTTTTTAAATGTGATATTTCAATGACAAAGATTTATTTTTAAAAAGTCAAATTTACCCTAAAACTATTAACGCTTTTGCCTTTGGTTTCTGATGCTGTCCCCTTTCTCCAAAGAACAACACAATATTGTAGTTCAACTTTAACCAGCAAGGATCCATGCAGTGTTGGTGGCTATCTTTTCCCCTTTCCCCTTCCCAACCAGCCTTCCTGCAGACACAGTGACAGAGGTCGTGGCTCCCTGGTTTCTAAGATTCAGACAGGGAAAAATAAATAAATAAACCTGTTTAAAGACATCAAAGAGAAAAGTTATTTTTAATTGCTGATTTAAGGCAATCAATCTGAAGCAAATTTAAGTGGTAATATACTTTTCTTTAAAGTTTTATTTCCAGAAAAAAATTAGCTTGAGAATAAAACAAAAAATACTTCACAAATGGTTATAAAGTAGGGATTCTAAAGCAATAGAGGTAGCAATATTACAAATTACTTTCCTACCACCTTACCCCTTTCTTTAAAAAAAGAGAGATTTCCTAACGTTTGCAGATAAAATAAATGTCTATCTAAAGATCTCAACGCAGAATTTTCTTAGTACAAATATTTTATGAACAAAGGGCGTAATCAACTATCTCTGCCAAGATTACTACATTTGACCAATTTCTTCAAACAATTAAAAGAACAGGAAATATAATCCAGGTGTGATTCCAAAAAAATAAATGTGCGCCAATCTACCGATGGTCATCCTCCGGTTCTCCACGGTTGCTCCTCACGGGGGGGGGGGGGGGGGGGGGGGGGGGGGAGTGCCTTTGGGAACGAAGAAGGTCGAGAAAAGGACTGGAGGCTTTTTTTTTTGCAGTCTGTTCTGGAGACTAGCCAATTATCTTTGTCGACATCAGGTGAGACTACACACCCCTAGGATGGAATTGGAGCTTCTTATTTTGACCATTTCTCCTCTCTATGTCTTAAAACACATTCTCTGGTCGGGGTGTGTGTGTGTGTGTGTGTGTGTGTGTGTGTGTGTGTGTGTGTGTGTGTGTGTGTGATATAACATGGTTTACTTAACACTTTTACCAAGAAGGAATTACGATGCCTTTCCAATCCTTTTTTTTTTTTTAAGATCATACCCTTTACTTAGGTCTAATTTCGTAGGATCATACTCTTGATGGATATTTGGGGTGGGGGGCGGGGAGTTGAGGGCTGGCGTGTCGCCACAGCTTTGCGATGCGTGTGGACTCCCTATTTCAAACGTGGTGTTGGAAGCCGAGCTGAAACTTTTATCAGAGCCAGCCACAAATGCCACATGTAAAGAAGCAAACATCCGGAGTAGCTTCCTGCAAGCCTTGCTTTTCTCAACACGGGAGATTTACTGGGGGAGGGGGGGAGGAGGAACAAGTTTCTGGAGTAAGAGTCTAGCACACCCTCCCAGCTGCCAGCGGTGTGCACTGGCTAAGCACAGCGTAGGGATTCTAGGCTCCTGGCTCCTTACTGACGGCGCTCACATCCCCTCGTCCCCGGGTGGGACCCGAAACTGGGCGAGAAAGCGACTAATTGTAGCAAGATGCTGTGCCTGCCACTACTTGGGGGTTTTGGCCAGCGGGGCGCAGAGATGAACTCGGTAGGTGACTGTGACTCGGACGTGAAGGAGTCAAAGCCATGCTTTTTTCGCGGGCCTCTGAGTGACCGTGCAAGGGCTGGTTGATTTCCGGCAGGGTGTGTTTTCGATGGTCAGAAAGCCAGACGAGGACCAGGACACCCAAGTCGATCGCGAAAGACCTGTGTGAACACCCAGGCCGTGGGGGCGCAGGATCGTGGAGGAGGGGAGTGCGCGCCTCAAGCCCTGGGAGAACTCCCGGGTGGCCCCTGTAAGCAGACAATGGTATCCCCAGGCGCAAAGACCGACAACAAGGCCTTTGCATTTATAAATCCGTGCCCCGCAGGCTGCCTCGGGGACTGAAGGGGGTGGCGGCCGGCGGGCCAGGCGCAGCGGGATGAAGGCCCCGCACCTTCCTAGGTAGGGCAGCGCACGGCGACGCCACCGATTGGCACCTAGCGCCCCGGCGCCGACTCGGCGGCGTCGCCGCGCCCCCTCGATACCTTTCGCGTCTCCTCCCCGTCCTTGGCCCAATCCCCCGTGGGTCCAGGATGGAGGTCGAAGGTCATGGACTGGAGGGGAGCGGTGGGGAGGAAGGATTGGCGGGGGAGATAGCGGTCATCCGCTCCACCTTGGCGGCGCCGCCGAGTGTTCCCAGCTCGAGAGGATCGAGCTAGACCTTCGCTACCAGGGCCTCTCCCGCGCGCGGGTGGAGAAGGGGCGAAGGCGAGGCGGCTTTGATCGTTCAGTCGAGTAGTTCATTCCCCACGAGGATAGGAGCCAGCGTTCCAACTTTCACCTCGACTCCCTTTCCCGGAGCACACAGCCCTCCTCAGGGCGCGGTCCCTCCTCCAGGCCACTCCTGAACCCCCCGCCCCCACTCCCTCGCCCCGGCGACTCCTCGACGGTGTCCGCGTTCCCGCTCGGCCCCGCCTGGGGTTTGCTAGGGCGAAGCAGGAAATGCGCTGTTCCCGGCTCACTTCCCAGCGCAGTGACCGGTCTGCGAGGACGTGGCTGAGATCCCCCTCCCCCACTGCTGGCCCCATCTGAGGTGTGTGGACCTCCCTTTGATTGCCAGGTGTCAGAAATCTCAGGATCCTGGTTGGGAAGTGGTGTGGAGGTGAGAAAGTCCAGTTCCCAACGCAAGCCTGGTTTCATGTACTTGCAGATCCCTTAGTGTGGCTGGGTATCTAGGCAGGCTGCTGGTGGTTTGTAATCCATGTCTCCGTCCTCACCCCAGAAGGGGCCAGGGCTTCTTGGAAGAAGTTGAGGAACTTACCAGCTAGTCTTATCAGTAGTGAATCCACAGTGAGCAGATAAACGCTCCCATTCCCACCCAAAGGAGTGCAGACACGGCCTCTGCCTCCGAGGAATGTAAATGCAGTATCATTAGTCTTCTTCACTGATTTATGGACTCCCAGCTGGGTGTTCTAAGTCTCTGCTCCTGTAATAATTTGTTCCTGGCATGTGAAAGTGATACTGACATCAGTAGGTCAAGCTTTTTTTTTTCTTCTGATGGAGGTAATGAATTTCTTTCCATCCTAAAAACCCTGCCAAGTTTCTCTATAGAAACAAGCCAGAATATGCCAGGTGGTTTGTTAGGGCAAGGTGTGCATGCTGTGATCACAGACATGATCAAAGTTAAATAGGTCTTGAGACAGGCCACTCCTGATAGCACTCATTACCCACTCACCTAGGCAACTCTAACCAAACTCATTATCAGATCTTGAGTGGGTACATGAGTTGGCTTCCAAAATTTCTAACCGGGAAGATGTTAGAGTTCCTTGTTTGATTTCACTTTTCCAGTTGATCTCTGTTACCTAGTTTTTCTTCTCTGTCCAGATGTTGGACTTGCCAACAACTTTCTGTTTGGTTCATT